GCAAATGTGTACATAATCCATGGCTGTTCCCGACAAACTCCCAGCCATGCACCCTACAAAGTGTTGCACCCTTTTGGGTGTCTTTTTGCGCCCCAACAGCAATCGTCATCTACATTATGTGCCTTCCATTGTTTTATAGCTGTGTGCCCAGGACTTTCAGATCATGAACAGACTGCACAACAGCGTGACAGAAGAGTTTTGACAGGGAAACGATGAGCGCCGAGTTTTTGAGAAAGGAAGCCCAGGGTGACAATTACTAGAGCGTGTTAGAAACCACACATCATCGTGATGCAAAGCAGAGCGTTCCTTAACTACTGAGAATGCAGTAGAACTCAGATCGATTTATAATGCAACGGAAGCCAGATTTTAGGATTTATCAGTACAAGATAATGCCATAGGAAAGCGAACACCTAATAGTACACGAACACAAAGACTCACCCTCATCTCAACTGTGTTAATGTGTTATTCAGTGCTCTCGCACTATTTATGACTATTTTCCATAATGACGAATCTGTGCCACCTGAGGTGATTGCCAGTTTCAGTTAACACAATTTGGAGGCTTGTTTACGCTAGGGCCTTTTGGTGCCACGGCGAGATGCCAAACCTAAAACACCCTAACGCGGTGCGGCGAAAAGGACTCCCCGAAGGGTGCAGCAACTTCCAGGCTTAGACTTGAGCGGGGAGCACAATGGGAATAACAAAGCCATAGTTGGCCCCTCATCCAACACTTACGTCGCAAAGAAAGAGCAAGTCCCGCGCCTCAAAACAAGGCTGCCGCCCGCACAAAAGCTATGGCACGTCAGTGAAAGCTGTAAAACGGGCTCGTAAAAGAACCTCAAACAAAGGCAGTCTAAATTATGCCACACTATTCCGTAGACTGAGATTTTAAAGGAACTCGTGCCATCTCCGAAGGAGGATAGGTGTCACGTGGACTTTACGCACAGAACAAGCCGAGAACCAACCAGGAAAAAAAAAAAGAAAAAAAAAAAAAAAACGCCCCTGTGGCGAAGAAACCGTAAAAGAAGGTTTAAACATGAAATGAGATGAACTATAAATTGTCAGCTTTACTTTGTCCACAGAAGCGTTACCTCAGTTTCTATTTTTCGGTGTTGATTGACTCTTTTTTCATGGGTCACTACGACTAAAGTGTATTCTTTAAAAGTACCCTTCCCAAGTGTGTTTTGTCCATATAACTTGCCATCTCAACATCTAAAAGGTGCATTTGTCTCTATCACTTGACCTTGTGTTTCGTCCCTCTCTTGCTGGCTGATGAGTGTTTTTATCAACTCCTTTTTGTTTATCACTATTTTACCGGTTTAGTAAGTGTAAAGGGTGTACCCCCTCCAGTGCTCCATATCTCGTTAAAAGAGCAATCAGGGTCTATTTGGGTGTGTTGCTCCTATTTTGCTGGTTTAACGTGACAAGGGTACAGTTTTCTCCATAAACTCTTTTCAGTGTTTCGTCTATATTCCCATGCTTTGCATATATCATTCTTTTTTTCTGCCCCAGTGTTTTTCTGCGCCGCGATTATTGATATCGTCACCGGGATCACATATTCACGGGGATATGTCATGGCGATTAACGGTGATTACGGGAATATGTCCAGAGGATTATCCCATGAAACGTATTCCCACTAAGAAAAAAATATTGAAGTTGTTTGTTATTAACAAGGGGCTCTAAACATGGGCTCACTTGAATGCATCTGGTCTCTTTCAACAAGATAACGACTTTACTTTTCGAACATTGCCTCAAGAGGCCGGGATTTGGCTTTCAAAACAATAAGGGCATCTCCAAGTCAACCTTATGGGCAGCTAACGCAACCAAAATAAAAAAAATTTTAAATTGTGCGAAAGAATAGGATTGTAAACCTAAGCAGAGTTTAAACAAAAAAAAAAGTAATTGTGCGTTTTTCTTTTTTAATTGTACTAAAAACATCGTCCAGCAATGATGACTGATGCCAGAGACGCTTACATCATTACGGCCAACTGGCAATGTGAAAATGAATTGTTACAGTAAAAACTCCCAAAAGTGTCGATATAAGCAGGAAACTGCGAGTTGAGTGAAATGATGAGAAAAATAGGGGCAAAATAATGCGAGGTCAGTCCTCCTTCTACGGCCTTGCTTCTAATGGCAGAGAAGTTTGCTTTGTAAAATTAAAGCCCAGATTAGGCCACATGCTCATTATGGCACACGGCAATTGTTAATGGCAACGTGGCACGAAGAACCAGCGGTAGGTTGCTAAGTACAACGGCTGAAGACGTACTTCACGTACAAATCCGGCACAAAGTTATTCCAATGCATTCAGCCATGCAAAAATGTGGTACACTCATATGGAAAAGAGAAATTAATCTGGTAATGTTAGGGAGTGATCTTATGCAGCAGAAAATAATCAAAGCAGCCGTTATAATTCCACTTATAAATGTGCAGCTGTAACAAACTCAGCTGCCCTTTAGGCAGTGCATGCTGATGTTGCTGTTTGTGCTGAAAAAAAGGAATGAAAAAAAAAATATCTTTTGAAGAATCTTCAAGCATAGTCAAGCCGGTAGTGCACCAAACACATTGCAGCATTCAAATGAACAGGCAACATAAGACCCGAGGGAGCACGGCCATGCAAGCGCGTCTTCAAAACAATTTCTTAGTTGCCTCAACCTACCTTACTGAAATAGTACACTGAAACTTCAATATAACCAACCCGGACATAACAAAATATTGTCTATAACAAAGTAAATAAACATAGTTTTGCAAAGGGTATAGTGTTAGGAATAAACCTTTACAACAAATTCTTGTATATAACGAACTTATTTTCATGTAAGATTCAACTTTTTATAATGAGGTTTAAGTGTAAAGCAGATGTTATACCCTGTTTGCAGTGTCAAGATGGTTGCTAATGTTTGCAAGAGATTGAGCGCAGCCATATTAAAAATGAAAATGTGGAATGATAGATCAGACCAACAAAATACAAACAGTGAAAATAGCCTGCAGACTTGAAACTACCCTGTAAGCGCACTTCTGGAGCTCTTGCATGCAAGCTGCCTTGAAGTAAATGTGCGTTAGGTCAGTGACCCGTCCCTGCCTTTCCTGCCTATAAGACACAACTTGATGGGTGTCAAGGTGGAATCATCACGCCAGATATCTGTAGTGAGCTGTCACGCTAGTCCACTGCTTTGACAGCCAGGATACTCTAGAACAGTTAAAACCAAAATAAAAAGTGCAGGAATAAATGTCCGGCATGGGAAAGGTACCTGATCAGTGGCAGCATTTGTGTGTGCTGGGATTAGAAAAACTGGAAATGAGAACGGAACACATTCCCAGTGAAAACTGAATGCTATCATTCCTTGGTTTTCATTGCCAACGTAAAAGGTTAATTATAAACAAAAGGAACTTCGAGGTACGTTGTAACTACAGCAGAATCTCGGTGATACGAACCAGGCCGATACAAATTTAAGCGTGATACGAATTCGTAAAATTCCTTGACTGAATTCCACTGGGTCCAATGCAACAAAAATTGGATGTTCCGAATACACTCCAGTGCCGTGTCGCGTTATGTGGACTTGGATACTGAAACCGTTGAGTGACGGAGGACAGGAGTGTGCATTGGAAGCTTGGGAAGTGCACAGCCAGCGCACGGACTGTCAGAACTTTGTTCATCGCTTTCTTAAACCACTGTGGACGAAACCGCGGTTGCTATCTACGCGATCATATATGGCAACAAGAGAACTCCAAAACTAGATGCACATCCAACGCTCACCAATTCAAAGTGATGCTGCCCGCCACAATCACTGTGGACAAAATCTCAGTACACGCGATCACAGATAGCAACGATCTAGTTTTGAAGGCACACACAGCCAGAGCACTCGGGATGAAGACGCAACTACCATTCACTACAAATGCTGCACACGCAACTGCAGTCGCTATCGATGTGATCATCGATGTGATCATGAATAGCGACTACGTAGCTCGGAAAGGATACAGCTAACGCAGCAGTAGATTAAAAGCAGTGAAGTCGTAAAGAGTATTTCGACGTTCCTGTAGTTCGCTTATGATTATGGTGGCGTGAAATTCGGCACTTCGCTTTCAGTTGGCCTCCAGCAAAACTTGGACGTGCACATCTGCGACAACCAGCTGTGCCATCACTTATTAATTCATTCACATGGGTCAGAATGACATATATAAGTTTTCTCAATGGCTATAAATGTCCTGTGCATATCTATTGTGGTTTGAAAATTAATTTTTCCAGTTTTTGGTGACTGAAAATATTTGGCAATGAAAATATTTTCGCCCCCCCCCCCCCCCAATAAGATTCATACCACCGAGATTCTACTGTAATATGATCAATGGCAAACTCTTTCAATATTTGCCAATATTCATCTGATATGCAACAAGACCACGCATGTCACCTATACACTGCTGATGACAGTCTGTTGGGAACAAGATGCAAACAATTTTATATTAATTTTCTATTACCCACACACCCTGCTCAGTCATTCAAGAAGTGATATAAGACACCCCTACAAATAAAGAAAAAGAAAACTTCCCTATAATCAAATGGTGGTTTTGGGACGTTAAACCCCACATATCAATCATAACCTGAATGTATAGGTTGCATCATCTGCAATAAGCTGTAACTTTAATTCTGATTTGATTGATTGATATGTGGGGTTTAACGTCCCAAAACCACTTCATGATGTAACTTTAATTCTTTCTCACTATTTAGTGGAGTTACTAGTGTCAATGGTTCTGCTCTCTACCATCTCAAACATGACGATTGATTATGAAAGAAGTTATGAGGCATCCACAACCCTCTAGGAACCACCCCGCAGTGGACTGTTCGGCTTGTCCATTGCCATGGAGACCAGAAGGCTCTGAAAGTCTGCCAGTTCGGGTCCGATCAGATCGAGGCCCGACACGGGGGCCGGTGCAGAAGGTTTCACCCTCTCCGTCGGCGATGTCATCATGCAGCGGGTGTAGCGGGCGGGGCTTGAGGTGAAGCCGCCACCCACCTGAGTTGCTGAGTCCGGCACTGTGCGGGGTGGAACGGGGGGTTTCGGTCCCAGGTCCTTGCGCTGGAGCACGGGCTTGTTGGGCGGCACGGGAGGCGGGGTGGGCCTCAAGACCGTCCCGGTTGCCGACGCTATGCCGGGCGTGCCGGGTGTCGTCGGCATTCCCGGCTTCTTGACAAGCGTTCGGTCAGGTGTCGGCTTTGGTGGCACCTGCCGTGAAACAAAATGGCAAACGCTGGTCTTCAGCACCAAATAACACTGTAGAGTGAATGAGTAATGAAACGTGTCTTGAAAAGCAATCAGTCAAGAAGAGTCAAAGGATACACAAACCAAAGGAGACGTGAATTACGCCTTGTGCTTGTTCAAAAAACACATCTTGAGGATGTGTTTTTTGAATGGCTATGAAAGGTTCAGCTTGATCTCACGGTTGTGAGTGGCAAGGAGAGTTTACAAGCGTAGTACGAAGTTGCCCTTTTTTCAGGTGCCCTCTTTTCATTCATACAGAGTCCTATGCCTGCCCTCTAAAAAGCTGCCAGGGACTGCTGTTTGATGTCAAACAGCAGCTAGCATGATAATGGCTAAACGCCGACATAAATAAGGAGCGGCGCTTGAATTAGATGTGCTTTCTTCCACGGGGTGCCCTGACATACTGGGCATCGCGATAGATAGCCAGTGACATTACCCAAACGACACACTTATGTGCAGAGGATACATAAACACAAGAGCGATAACATTTCATTGCACGCACTGACTAGACATCTTTCCTCATACCATCCCTTACAGTGAAGCTTGCAGCATGCTCGTTGGGTTGAGAGAAGGCACTTGAAAAAGTGCGACGAATTCCCGTAACTGCACTCGTTCTTCCCCAATTCGAGAAAGTATCGCGGCTATCAATTCATGAAGCAATAAGCTCCGTCACTGAGGTCATTTGATTAATACAGTCAAACCTCAATATATCGAACATGGATATATCGAATTATTGCCTATATCGAACGGTTCCTATATCACGCGGGAAATCGCATGCATTATTGATTTTTTTATTTCGAACAAAGTTTGACATATAATGGATATATTGAACTCAGCCACCCCAAACCGCGCTCCATTGACAGGGGGCGAGCTTTCCCGCAACTCTCGAAAGTAGCGGTAGAGCGGCGGGCGTTTACGAATGCTGCACACATCGATGGCGCCGAGAGCGCCACTTAACGTAGCGGCGTACGCGCGCCGCAGCCTTGTGGTGGAGGTTCTTGAATGAGGAAAGTGAAGGAAAAAGCGCGAAGCTGTTATTTTCTTTCAATACGAAGGCACCGACACGGCTTCGCGCGGGGGAAGGGGGAGTGGGAGGTAAAGATTGAGGAGGAAAGTATAGGAGGGAAAGGACGCAGACAACTGTCTCGGGCGCGGCCCGCGCTGCCGCCGGGAAAGGGAAAGCAGTCAGGCGAGCCGGCATGGGCGCGCCATGTGCGCGCTTTACACCCGGACTCACGCCGCAGTCTTGCAGCTTGCAGTCGTTGCAGTCTCTATGGTGTCAACGGCACACTGCGCACTTGTTGCAAGCTCCTCCCCTTAGCATCGGCAGGCATCGGTCGTTGTGCTCGCAGTGTTCGTGCGTTCTGAGTTAGACCTGTCGCGCACTGTTCAAAGTTAGGCCTGTCGCGCACTGTTCGGAGTTGGGCCTGTCGCGCACTGTTCGGAGTTGGGCCTGTCGCGTGCTGTGGTGCGCGCCAGGCCTAACTCCGAACGGCGGAGCTCACGGATGTGGAGATTGTCGCCGAAGCTACTGCTGAGCAGCCAAATGAAGACTCTGCCGAGGTGGATCCCGCAAGCACTGATGGTGCCCCGCTCCCGACATCAGCTGAGGTCGTAGCTGCCTTGGCCCTTGTGCGCCGCCACTGCGGCGCGTTTGAAGGCACCGGCCTATCACTTATGGATCACCTGGACTATATTGAGGACGCAGTCGTCAAACACGCCATGGCCAACAAAAAGCAGGCTACTCTTTTTCAATATTTTAAACCAACACAATAAATACTATGTTTGAATATTCAAGTGAGTATTTACTGCACCACGCGTGAACAGTTCGTTGGTCGTTTTCAGCAAGCTGTTGACGCATTTTTTCGTGATTTTTTTCTTATATTGAATTCTGGATATCGAACTATTTCGCAATCGCCGCGCCGTTCGATATATCTAGGTTTGACTGTACTTAAAGCAGTGGTTTGGGCCCTTTTAAGTAAAATCGAGGACAGCCAGAAAGAATTCAATGAAGAACTCGGTCCCTGTTCCAATTTTTTTCCCCATCCACTGTGACTAAAGGATAAGGAAAAATATAATGAAGGAGCCCTGAAAAAGCCCTGAGGAAAGGAGCCACCCGTATTGGCCTTCAAGCATTTCCAGTTTATTTTCCAAATTACCTCGATTCATGTGCCGTGCTCTCCTGATAAATGGTAACGACGCATTTCTCCTGTACACACCTGTGGCACTGTTGGAGGTGTGGTTTTGGTAGCGGAGGGCGGAACCTTGGGTACCACTGCTACACCTCTGGGTGGGGTCGGAGTGGGAACTGCTGCTCTGACGGTGGGTGCGGGTGCGCTGGCGGGGGTGATGATGGTGGCACTGCGCACCCCCTCTCCGAGGGGCGCTGGTGCCGGGGGCGGAACCAGGCGCTCGGCCTCCTGCCGTAGCCGCTCCAACTCCGCTTGCTGCTGGGCATTCTGGGCCTTCAGTTCTGCAACCTGTGAGCACAGGCGCAGCCCATTCTAATTGATACCAGTGTCGCATACCTAGTTCTTATAGCAACTGAGCTTGATCTGGACTGAATTTCTTAATCACGATTAGACAAAAGAGGGGTACCTTTTTTAGGGACTCGTTTCGCTCTTGGACAGAACCAAATAAATGCAACCAACAATTGTGCCAAGGAAAGCATAGGGGCCATTAATCATTGTCTTCTACTGTAGTGTAGTGCTAATGATGTAAATTAAGAATGAGATAACGTGGAAGAAAATCACTCCTCGACCTTCGAATAGAGCTCAGAGCGTTCTACCGATTGAGTTACAAGAGAATGCACTTAATACAAAAGTTGTGAGTTTGGATCCTACTAATGGGAAGGGTAATTCTTTATCCATTTAAATTCGTTTTAATCTGACAGCAGACTGTTGTGGCCATTTACATTGTCAGGAGGAGCCCAACAACAGACCACAAAAGGGTCCGTCAAAAGCAGTTGTGCACTGTGGCGCCGATCATCCATCACTCAAACTGGTCAAGCGGCATTTTCCTATCCCATTGTCTGATTCATGAAGTGTTTTTTTTTTTTTTTTCCCACGCGTGCAAACTGGTAATGCTCGTGTCAGAAAATATCGCCGTTTGACTGATTCATAAGGCCTGTGTTCATGATAAGTTTACAGTTGCACTATTTCCTGTACACATACCTTACAGGCCCCTTTGAGGCATTGTGTAAGGGGGCATCTGATAAGTAACAACAAGGTAGGTCAACATAAAAAACAGCAGAAAGTGCTGGAAAATAGGTGTCAGCGCAAAGCTAGCGATTTGAGATGTTAGATTAGAAGAGAACATGATTCAGCAAATGTGAAACACAAAAAGGGGGATGCACGGTTTGTTTCATGTATAGAACGCATATCCCGTATGCCATGTCGAGAATGGCCAGCCAAATGGGGACAAGGTTCTATAGCCTCCCTGTCCTTCCTTTTTCTCTCTCTCTCTCTCTCTCCCAGAAAGAGCAGCGTTCGACAACAAAATATGTCAAAGGAAGAAACACTAGCAGCAGTTGTCTGCTGACCTGCGTCTGGAAACGTTCCCGCTCCATCTCAAAGTCCGCTGCTTGCCGCTCCAGCTCCTCTTCCATCTGGAGGGATCGTTTACTCTCCTCTTCCAGGCCTTCCACCATTTCGGAAGAGCGGGCCTTTTCGTCCTTTAAGCTCTGCGAGGAGATTCACAGACACAAAAGTGCTTCATCAGGTGTTTCATATTCCAACTGCATACTAGTGCAAGGACTTTTTACACAAGACAGAAAACAAAAGCGACACACATTTGTGTGTATCACTGCGCATGTAATTTCCATTTTGTCAGTTGTCTGGTCTAATATAGACTGCCAACTAGCCGGATCAAGCCCCACAGAAACGATAAAAGAGACAAAGGGAAGCACTACAAATGAACTGCATGTACTGCAGGGGTGCACCTAACTGGGCTGGTAGGTACATGATTAGGACGGGAACAAAGAACACTGGACAAGGGATAGCTTCATCTGTCCAGGGCTGTTTCTTCACGTCCTAAGCGTTACAAAGCACATTTGCGAGTTTGCAATGGCTGGGTTTTGACGAACATGAGATTAGGTCAGTCAGGCGCCTGTGTGTGTCAGCAACTTGAAAAGGTTTGCTGCTGCGACTTAGTCGCTCACTTTTCCGTTTCTCAGCACTACCACCAAAATTAAGTACAAAAATAGTGGTCTCAGACGTCATGTTACAGGGATCAGAGACATGATATTGAAAAATATTTGAGAAATGAAAGTTTTCAATGAAAGTTTTCAAACCCTGCCAAGTTAAGTGCCTGGCATCCCTCAAGTAATGCACACTCAAACTTCGATATAGCGAGCCCAGATATAACGAAATATTGGTTATAACGAATTAAATGAAGAATAGTCTTCCAGTAGATACAGTGTTAGAAATATATGATTATAACGAATTTATTTAATTATTTAACGACCTTATTTCTGCACATGACGCAACTCTGTTATAATGAGATTTGAGTGTAATCCATTTTTACAGGCAAAGAACTGCATAGGCCATTGCTAATGGCGTCAAAATGCAAGATACCACTGTGAGCTGTGGGTGCGAACTTGAAAGCAGTCCTGCCAACCAGTTTCTTTTTTTTTTTTTTCTGAGCCTGTATTGTGGTTTTCTTTCTGCGACTCTTTTATGGATACATCATCCGTCTTTTCAAGACAAGAGTGCCATTTTTGGTTTGATAGCATGACAGAAATGACATTCCTCTTTCTTTCAGAGTACCTTCAATAACAGCAAACTAATACATTATGATATTTCTGACGCTTGACAGTTTTAACATGTAGCACAGAAAATTGTAGAACAACAAAGCTTATAAAGAAGGTAAGGACCACAGAGTATGCAATGGAATAAAAAATTACAGACGCCACACTGAGAGACGGGAAGACAGCGGAGTGGACCAAAGAACAAACTAGGATAGCCAATATCCCAGCAAATATTAGAAATAATATTAAAACTGGAACTGAGCAGGCCACATTATCGGAAGGACAGAGAACAGATGCTCAGTTAGAACAGTGCAATAGGTAGCACAAGATGGAGGGGGCATCGATGAGGACAACCAAGGGTTAGATGAAACTGCTCAAATCTAACACTTTGCATATGTAAAAAATTGAACAAGCTTGCAGGATAGGGCGGGTAGGAGACCATTGCAAGAGGCCTTATTTCGGCAAGGGAAGTAAGCTGATAATGATGATAACAATAATGAGAAAGACACGGCGACAGAAGTTGTGACAGGATCTTGAGCTCACCCCAGTCTTGTGAAGTGAGATTACGTCCTCACCTGCAGGAGCTGGTCCCCCCGTTGCCGTTCCTGGATTATCCGCACGATTAGCCGCTTCCGTTCGGCCAGGAGGAGCAACACCATCTGCTTCTGCCGAGTTCGTTCCATTTCGAGTGCCTCATTTGCCTGTGTCACGGATATGATCGAACAGAGCGAGGAACTTATCAAAGAGAGTCCTGTAAACATTGCACAGTCATACCAACTAATACTGAACACGCTGGAAAATGGGAATGAGTTCGACAGATGATGTAATTCCCCACAAAGCTTTGAAACAACTTACTGCATTTAGACAGCGCGTTTTGGTGCGAAAGTTAGTTTCATGGCACTACTTCATGACAATGCAAAGAAGCTGGATTCACAGCAAAACACAGGATTGATTTTTTGCACTTATCTTCCCACACTTTGTCGTTAAAGGTGTGGCCAAAACACAGAGCAAGTTATACAATACAGAGTACATATAGTACCAATCTAAACAGTGCCTCAACATTTTTACAGGCAGCTGTGCGTACTCGCCAGGCGCCAGAAGCCTCTAGTCCGTCTTGGCCCTAATGTTTGGGATGCAGAATGCAGCCATGATGCCAGATTTCTGTGCCGCATGTTCAAGTGCCCTGATTATAGCCAGCTTTGCAGCGGTGGCCTTGGCAAACACGTATGACAAGTGTGATGTATTTCTAATTACCAGTCTCTGGAACAGAGCCTACTTCAACTCTAACAGCGCAGCTGTTTGAACTTTTCTGTCTGCCATTTCCCGTGACCCTAAAACTAAGCTGCGCCTAGCTTGTGCAATGCAATAATTCGGCCAGCACCCGCTCACTTCGTCCTCTTCTTAATTTTAGGATTGACTTTACATAAACACAGTTTGTCCTCGGTGATGTAACATTCAAGAAATGAGGATAGTTGTAGTAAATTTTTCTGCATTGCCTAGCAATCTGCCTGATAGTGAGGTCCGTGGCCAGCACACTATTGAAGTTGACACGATGGATGTCTAATGTAAACGTTTATTCAATTCGAGCAACTTCTGAAGAAAGCAAAAGTGATCCAGAGAACAGATAAATGGAAGAGAAAGGAACAGAGAATGAATCAGAGAGAAACCGACAGGAATAGAGAGAAAACCTTGCTAATAAGACCATAAGTATTGTAATCAAAGTAATTAAACTCCCAAATTAAAACCTTACAAGTTATGACTTGCTAATAAGAGCCTTGCTAATTTTGTACTATATAATTAAGACTGATAATTTTGCTAATTAAGAACATGGTAGCAATTTAAGTTGGCTACAAGCTCAGCTACTAGTCTCGCCTTGCACCACTGGTGCAAGCTGCCCACATTTTTTATTAATTTATTTTTTGCTATGCCCGAGCCATTTGGCAGTGTTGTCACCACACTGAGCCCAGACTACTACTACTACTGCTAACATTGCAACCCGTCTTACCTGCTGAAGTTCTTTCTCAAGCCTGTGGCTCTGCTGCCTCTCAAGGTCCACCTCATGTCGAAGGTGCTCGCGTTCCTTTTCTAAGAGAAAGGTCACATTGTCACCCTGGGCCGTGTCTTGAGCGCGCTTTCCTCTCTCCTCCTCCAGCTCTCGGCACAGCTGCGCAGCGAAGATCATGAAACGAGACACCCATTAACCAGTACTGAACATTGCAAGTGCATCACCAAAGTGCATGACATAGTGACATCACAAGCATAGGGTCAACCACACCTACGGTGAATTAGTAGTCAAGCTGGTAAAACTATTGCGCTCATTCTACTTCACAAGTGAAATATTCACCACAAAGCACCCATATATTTGGCACATATTTAGGTGCTTCAAATATTTTAATGAATTTTACATTATTTGAATTCATTTCAAGAAGAGTTTAGATTATTCGAAATTTCGAAGTATCTAAAATGAATGAATATATGCACATATTTGCGAGCATATAGCCTACCCTTCTCCCTTGTTTTTCTTTTTGTAAAGGTTTTTCACTGCAAGGGGGTGATGTGCTGTGAAACCACCCATTCAGAAAAAAATCCGCACTGTCACACTCAAAGTTCAAGTTGAAATATTATGCTCCTCCACCACAATTATTTTTAAAGTCGAAAACTACGTTATATGAGCTTGAATGCGGTGAGTATAATAAATTTTAAAATGTGACATATTGTACCACTACACCAATCTTGCCACTATTCAGAGTTGCTTCCACTTCACTTTGAACTAAGAAAGTGACATTCACACAGACCCATTTCCATTTCTTAAAAATACACTCAAACCTCATTATAACAAGGCCACATCTGCCTCGAAAATACTTCATTATATCCAAAAATTTCTTATAAACAGTTATCTATAAATATGTCCATGACAAAGCTATCTTCATTTATTTCATTATAACCAATAAATTGTTTTATACAAATTCATTATATCGAGGTTTGAGTGTATGGTGCAAATTCGGTAGGGACAAAAATGATCATTTTTCTTAATGGTATGTGATATATACAATTCAAACTCTTTGTTTATAAATTATTCAACCAGTTGACTATTAGCTTAGAATAGAACTCTCTTTGAACCTCGAATTTACTACTACTCTAAATTGGCTTCGAACTTAAACTTACTGTTCACTCATCCCTACCAAAATGGTGTGTGTCTGAAAAATTCCGAGCAACTAACCTTTGCACAGCGCTGTTCCAAAGCTCGGAGTTCCTCCCGGTTGCGAGCCTGGACCCGCCGGTGCAACGCGATGAGCTGCTCCAAGTGGTGCAGTTGGAGGCCGTGTAGAGCTCGCACCGAGGTCACGTCGAAGCGCTTGTCGAAGGCGTTGAGCACGTCCCGCTGCAGGGCTGCCCAGGGGTCGCTGCTTGCTGCCCCGTTGGTGCCAGCCTTGCGCGGGTACAGCAGCTGCTTCACCTGCTCGGCCTGCATGACAGCCCACAGTACACTCTTGACTAACCATCACCGTACAACTGACAGAACTGTACCAAGTTTTCCAGTAACGTGGCACGCACATACAGGCATGTTCCTAAGGCAAATGGTCGTGCAACCTCTTACAAACCTTTTTAAAAATGTTCAAAGTGATATTCATCATTGATACTTTGTAAATGATGCATAAGTATCCACACAAATCTATCTCACAAGCCAAGCCACCTTGCCCACATAGTTTTGCATCGGCACACCTCTAAAATTTCGTCGAAAAGGGTCAAACTAGGTGTTGTACTCTGTTACAACCTAAAAAAATCTAAGCTCCACCCGCAGAATCGTGGCACGCCTGCCCTTCACCCGTGATAGACATAAGTGCTAGCTGGTTTCCGCTTGAGCCGAAAGTACACATTCTGGCTAATGCCAGAACTATGCATATTAGGGGGCCCTGCAACACTTTTCCAAGTAACCATAGAATGGGTTCACAAAAGAAGTATATTGTCTCGTCAATAGTGCTGCCGCAAAAATCTTTCGATTCCATCAAGAATGAGCGGAGTTAAGGAGGTTTGTCGCACACTGCAATTGCTTTCTGTCCTCTCGTTCTAAGAAAGACACTGGAAGCTAAGCCCAAAGAAATGGCGCAGGAGAAATAAGGTACAACATGTGTACGTCATGACCTTGAGCACTTTTTTTCTTTGAACACGAGTACAGACACATAGAAGTGTCCCTCACCAGCTGCAGTAACTATGGAGCCTGCGATACTTAATCCAACCGCTGGTCATAAATATGGGTATATGGCACTGTCATTTGGGTGCGTGGCACCATTTGTAGAAGAAGGAGCAATTTCTAGCTGGCTCTGAAAATCAATAGTAAATTCAAGGATGCATGCTGCGCTACGACGTTTGGCTCGCGTGTTTTCAGGGGTCTTGACTACAGATCGGCAGCGTTTTCTGACCATGCCAAAAAAGTGTAGCAGGGCCCCTTTTAAGAGCTAAATGCTTATCGTTACTACCTTAAACATTAAGATTGTTCCGAGTTGCAGTGTTAGAATTCCCTATAAAATCTAACAGGACTTTCAAGTTTCCAACCTAGAACCAGTGATACAAGCATGAGTCTGTATAGGAAAATCAACTATCCGAAACGTTCTATAAGGGCTTGGTGTCACAAAAATAACTCTTAGTTATTGGATGGAGTAATTGTATAAATTATGCGTAAGAGGGACAGCAGTGGCCTTCACAGCGCTACCCGCATACTTACCACGACTGTCAGGATAGCACAGCAAAAAGAAATAATTTGCCATCCTGAATATAGTAAAGAGATAGGGTGCCTCACACAAACTGGCATAAAAATGTGCCAGAAACCTGGGTGCAATTGCTACATTCGGCATACTCTACCCTTTCCCATCTGCAAAAACACGCGGTTTGGAAATGTCGATCACTTCATTATTATAAGCCAATAGAAGAGCTTGTTTTTATTAGACACGAACGTATGAAGCCAAAATAAGCATAGAACTATCATACACATCATTTTTTTCTTTTTGATCGGAGTGTAGTGATTACGTGATACTGGGAATGAAAAAGTGGACGAAAAACAACCTGCCCCGACGGGGAACAAAACCCAAAAATTTTCAAGATGTGTCACATGACCACTTTCAATTGCGATTTGGTTCAATCGGGACCAAGTTACCCGACTGCGATTGGCTCAACGGCAAGATGTGAAAGGGACCACTCATGACCAATAAACGTGAATCGCAATCGAGCTCAAACAGGATCGAAATCGCAGTGTCGGAACACTCTAGGTGTGAGTCGGTGAACATTGAAAATGAATTAAATTTCTGCGATAAGACATGCAACAAGCGGACACACCGAAAGTGATAGTTGTGAGGATTTCATATGCACTCATGCACTCTGAGCAGCGTCAACCGCAAAAACAAGTCAGGACTTACCTTCAGTACGGCAATCACAATTTCTCGAGCCTGTAGTTCCCCCTCTAGAACGCTGAGTAACTTGAGGAGTTCATTTTTGTTTAATTCCATCTTTGGGTGCCTCTGGATGAAAGAAAAAACAAATTTTCAATACATGAAAGGAGGCACAATCGAAAAGCCTGAAATCGACCACAGATACACTCATCATGTATACGTCAAACCACTGCGCGGAATTGGTTAGCTTCGACAAAACAGAACAAGCCATAGATCCAAAAGAAAACGCGTGTCTTCAGCGGCGAATGGAAATCGTGAGACAAGGGTGAAACGCGGCGATAAGCCACGATTGATTGATTGATATGTGGGGTTTAACGTCCCAAAACCACTATATGATTATGAGAGACGCCGTAGTGTAGGGCTCCGGAAATTTAGACCACCTGGGGTTCTTTAACGTGCGCCCAAATCCGAGCACACGGGCCTACAACATTTCCGCCTCCATCGGAAATGCAGCCGCCGCAGCCGGGATTCGAACCCGCGCCCTGAGGGCGGCGATAAGCCACGACCACAAACACAGGCGAAACTATCGGTGACAGCGGCTAATCTTGAATAAATACATTCGCTACACAGGATAAGCTTGAAGAACGGATTAACGAGACGGTATCCGAAACATCTATTGACGTTTCGCGTAGCTTTCAAGGTTAGCTTCAACTCGCATTCGTGAAGAATGGATACGATAGTTACCACCACGGCACGACGAGACATTTTCGCACTGATTCTTCCGAGATCCGCGAGGGAAAAAAAAAAGGGGGGGGGGGGACTTCACTTCCCGACAGGATCCCACCAAAGTCCGGCACTGCGCGCGCCGCCAACTCCGCAACTCGTAAAAGCGAAGCCGATATACGTGTGCCCCGCCGCGATAAGATGACGGAACTACATCTGGTGCCAGTTGAAGGTCTCGATAGCACGAAAGTAGCACGCGTGCTACTACTACACTACTACTCGGGCTTTTCGTCAATGCGATGTTAAAGAAACTCCGTAAAAAAGAAAGCAGGACATTCGGTCAATCCAAACTCGGCACGCAAAACGGAGCTGGTTTCACGCAAACACGCGCGGGTTGCCCACGGTCACGCGCTCATTTACGGACGAAATTGACTGTTGCCTCCTCCGGCTCTTAGCCGTGACACTATTTCGTTTTTTATTTGTTTACACACGCGCCGCAAGCCCCTCCACCCTTCCGAAAAAGAACCGCTACCCCCGCTGCGGAACGCGCGATTTCGGCAGCATTTCTTGTACACCTTCTTGCTTCCCCCCCCCCCCCCCCAAACACACGCGCGAAACACACACGAAGGCACGAGTTTTCCTTATCCGGACGGGGAAATATATAAAAACATGCACGATTGCGGTTACAGTTCGACCACGAGCAAGATGTTTAAGCGAGACGGGCTGGGCCAAGGCAACGGTGGCTCGCAGGCTCACGACGTGAACCGCGCTGTCACGCAGGGTCAAATCCAGAAAAACGTGGGTGCCGTTCTCTCTTCCAAGCCGCAGTTCTATACGACATTTCTCTGTATTTTCTTTTGCGGGAGGAGCGATTTTGTTATTAGCACGAGGACGATACATCCGAAGTCTCTGTACTACTTCACTAACATCGCTGCCTCCTACTCGAAGGTTAGCGCGAAGCAGTTGAACGCGGAGAAAAAAGGATGCGCTCAGCACGGATCCAAACGACGGTCCGAGAGGAGGGTAGCGGACCCACTTACCTTCAACGTACTGCTGGTCAACTTGTCAAAACCTTCGTAGGAGCAGGCCGCCGATCCCGGCTGGGACTTGATAGCTCCGCGACCCGCCATGTCGACGACGCCGAAAGGGATACAAAGCGAAGCTTGTTATTTTTATTACTCGCCGACGCTGCTCCTACCGCAACTGGGCTGTTTCCGTGAATCCGGAGACGACTAGGCAACCGACCGCGCCGGCCGATGGAGCAGCACGGAATCGCCGACAGTTGCGGCCCGGTAGAGGCATCCAAGCGCGCCAGGTGATACGGATCAGCGTAGAGCTTCGCGTAACATCGTTCTTACGGATGGCTTTCACTCGGCGCCATCTTTTTTTTTTCCTAGATGCTCCGTCCGGCGCCATGACGACGTCATTCGTCACGTGACAAAAGATGGCGACCATCGCAGAGGGGGGCTCTTAGGAGTTTTGTTCATTTCTTTTCTCGTTTCGTTCAGACCGCGCGGCAGCTGTCACTCGACAGTTAGTCACGTGGTTAGAATTTCAACAGCCGCTGGCAAGGGCGCGTGGCTTTTACGCGCTTGTTGGCTGCTTTTAATTTTTTTTTCTTGCGCTCACATACCACTGAAATGGTAAGGCCGAGCGAACAATAATGCGCTGTTTCGGTTTCGTGCTTTACAACATCTTCTTTACATCTGCACAAAAAGCCAATATCATTTGACGTTTATCGAGGGGTTCACTTAAGGGAGAGCACGGAGTGTCAACATTTACGGTTAGGCCAGCGTTTCTGGCACACTGAAGATAATTCAAACTAAACAGTTTTTCTTGCAATACACTAAAGCCTGGTGGCAAAGCCCACTTTACACTACAATGCAGTTTTACTGCGCGTTTTTACGGCCTTCCGGCGCCACAATACACCGAAGTAATCATATATCTCGTAGCACACTTAAATTTAATAGTGTCTCAAATATAGATACGAGAGATCAGTCAGCACAGTAAATTCTGGCGAACGTGAGGCATTGACTCAACGCAAGCAGTCCAGATTATCACGTGTCTAGATTGCCCATATTGCAACGTGCCCGAACCATGCGACAGTGTCGCACTTTTTGGCATCGGTTCGGCACGTAAGTCACTCGTGGCGAAAGTCGAGCGAAATATCACGCTGACGCGACAAAACCGAAAACTGAGAATGAATGGCTTGCTAGCCAGCCATGTGTGCTAATTCACACCAACATTTAATCCATTTATTTCCGACATTTATAAAATATCTTACAACTTACCGAGTTATGCGAAACCTATTGTTGAAAGAAAAACATTTAACTGCATTTAAAGTGCATAAAAACAATTTTCGTACTTTTAAACGGTATTGTGAGATGGCGCCACAATTTGTAAATACTAAAATTACGTTGTGCATAACTGATATGAGACATGCACTTCTATTCGAATATCTGTCGAATTATAAAAATTGCGCTCGACCTTTCTCATTACTGAGCTCTGAAATTACGCTAGGACGTCGCTAACATTTCTTAAATGACAATGGCTTACAAACAAGTCTTTTTTTCTTTCTCTTTTCAATACTTTTTACGAACTCAAGTGCAGTCGCTCAGCGACAAGAGCGGACCACTCGCACCGTTGTCTGGCATCATCAATTTTTGTTGTAGTTGTTGTGGTCACATGACACAGAGATCAGGCGATATCCGTGACGTCAGTTGCACCTCGGACTGCCTCGGGCGAGCCCCTCACTCCATCGTTCATGTGTTGCTGGATGCGCTGTTGGTGAAAGGAGCTGCGCTATAGCTCCGTGTGTACGCAATTTATTAGCTAATCATGGGGAACAAAATATCCCGCCCGACTCGCCCGAGCTGACGAACTCGACGCAGAGTGGATTCGGAGACGTCGCTTGAATGCGAAAGTCGACATGTTGTCCCGAAGGTCGACACATTGGATCGCCCGATCCAACGGTTACCACGGCTGGCGTAGGCCATCGAGCTTCAGGTGAGCGACTTTTACCCGAAGTATATTTGACTTCCTGCTCTTACCAAGGCGCAGGAAGTCTAAAACCTTCGTTGCGCAAGCTAGCGAGTGCGCTTGACATCGCCAGGTGCGCGCGCAGCTGACGATTGCAGCTGGAAACTGGTTTCGGTGTTGATCGTCACGTAGGCGGGCAGCTTATCTCGAGATATCGCGCTGCTTTCGAGTCCGCCCTGTGTCAAACAACAAAGAGCTGAAGGTACGCACAACTGTCGTCTAGTACAGGAATGTTGTAGGAAAACTTGAATCAGTACGCGCGTACGTGCCGGAAGGCAGCGCGGATTTTTTTGAGGAAGTCGTTTTTTTTTTTTTTTGCGCTTGTCATTATAAACTGAGATCACTGATCTAGCCCTCGTCTGGTATGTGGATTATAACAGCTAGCAGGCGACACAGCTTGTCGATCGTAGCGTGCAGTGTTGCAATAGTTGCACCAACTTGCGCATACATATGCCTTCCAGCTGTTTGTATAGCGGCAGCAAAGCGTTTGCACCGTTTCGATCACTTTGTGCGCTGGTTTCACAACGCGTCTGCTTTCGCGCGCGCTTTTCTGTTGAGGACCAAACAACTTAATAACTCGCTAAAGTAAACAGTGGAAATTTAAGTTAGGCAGGTTAGTACGGATTCATAATGCTAAACAGCGCAAACGACAAAGGACTGGTTGAAAAGGAAGTAGGACAGTGTGGCGCAGAGATTCTGTACAAGTGTAGAGATGCAAACACAAATTGCATGGAGAACATACACACACACACAGTATATATACGTCATCCGATTTATTGCGCCATGCGAGATTGAATCAGTATCTTGATGACACCTTGGGATGATGCGAGTGAAGTAACCATGCCTAGTGTGTATCGCAATCATCTTTTTTTTTTTTGTGCCACTGTATATACTCTCCAATCGTACACGATATTGTCACGCAGCAAAGGACGACCCAGTTGTCTATAAGGGAAACAAGTTTATTGGAGCGAACCTGTGCTCCCCTAACAACTGAAAGAATACACAGGCGGCGAAGCAGCGGCCGGCAAAACGACGTGCACGCTAGTGAGCGTCGGCGATCGAATGACGCGGCATCTGCTGTGCGGGAATTTATATCCCTCGGCGCGAGCGTTTCTCGAATAGTCGAATTGTACCGAGAACGCCGTGATAGCGTTTGTTAGAAACGCTGTTCGTTCGAACAGCGTTTCTAACAAACAACGCTTGAAGCGTTGTTTCTATCGAACAACGCCTGAAGCGTTGTTCGATAGCGTTTGTTCGAAACGCTGTGAAAACGGCGATAGCACAGGCCGGCGCAGCCAGGCCGAAAAAACTAAACACAAATAAACAAACCCAATGCATGGTTCGCGGCAATATCATAAACACATCTTTAACATTGTATAGTCTCTGCGTCATAGAAATCGGTGCAGTTATGAGTCTGCACCTGTCCTGTTTTCTTTTCAACCAGTCCCTTGTCATTTCCACTGTTTAACATCATGACATGAATACATGGATGATTACTGACTGACCCAAAACTAACGCTTTGCACATTTCAGGTTTAAAAGGAAGCCCACTGGCATAGCACTCATCCGCCAGAGCAGCACCTCCAAGTCCATGCCAAACCCATACTGGACGTCCAAACTCACTAACTCACTGGAGCGTCTTCAGAGCAAGACACACCTAAAGTTTAACGCCCGGGTGTTATTTGACAGCATAGCTGCCTTCAGAGACGCCCATGTTCGAAGGATAGTGTTAATGTTGCGTAGCAATGCTTCCATGACGCAGCCCAGATTGCAGAGCGGGGCAAGTGCTCGCGACCTCGTACTGCAGGACACAATGCAGAGCTCCACAGCACAAGACTGCAGAACTACAGATGTTGAAGATACGAAGCGCACGTCGACCTTAGGAGGTCAAATTGATTTGTGGCGAGAACTTCTTCATAGAGCCATCAGCTCGGGTCAAAGAGTCGAAGATAGTCAGATGATGCGGCTTGGTGTACAAATGGCGAAGGACAAGTCTTCGGGCGATGCCGAAGAAATTATGGTCAAGGAACCCGCGAAGAGTGAAGCTTCCTGGCAGGAATTCGCGAAGGCGCAAGAGTCCGAGGTGAACAAGATTCTGTCCGAGATGGAACTTGCGCAAGACCACAAGCCCGAGCCGCAAAAGGAGGACACTGCTGCTACAGACGCCAAGAGCAAGCTGCCTGCTATGTCTCAGGTGCGCATGACTTCTTAAGTCTGACTTTGGGTCTTCACTCTTTGTTTTATTAGACATCATGGCTGATCTGGCAAAAGGATTCCCTTCGTAATCACGAAACACACACAAGGTAACCGATCGTGGTGATAAAATAGGGAGTGTTGCTTGGATCACTGATGGGCCACACAAATCTGTACAATGGGAAACAAAGTTTTAGGTTGTCCCGAGACCGTACCCATGTTTGCCATTTGACACATAAGTGCATGCGTTCCACATATACCAACCTATGAATGTTGATTGTGCATTGCTTCGTTTCACGATTCAGAGTGCTGTTTTGCACATGTGAGCAAGTATAAAGACTGCTCCATTTTATACTGTGTCTGATGCAACTTGAAAAATGACGAGATGAAGTACAGATTCTATTTCCCATTCAGTTTGATTTGCTATGAATACGCGAGCAATTAATAAATGTGCTGTTATAGATGGCTACGCATGTTGATCTGCGAGTTGTAGAAATTGCTCTAATGGATGGGTGACCACAAAATATTTGAGTATGAAGTTTGTTCATACTCAAATTTGAGTATGAACTAATTGTTCCTGATTTCTCCAAGCCAGATGCACTTTTTGGGCAAGAACTGTTAGTGGCGACACAAGCGTGATTGTTAATGAATGCTGTGACTGCACACTGCTCTTAAAACCCAGCTCCAAAGATTCGCCTTAATGAAAAGACAACAATAAATGATACTGGTGAGCAAAGAAAAAGCCGAAACGCAACCACTGACACCGTCTACGATTCATCATTTTTTGTTTGCTTGTGTGCGTCTTTTTCGCTTTGCTTTTTCATTAAAGGGTCCCTGAAACTTTTTTTTTCACATTACGTTTTTGGTTGGACCACTACTAGAGCAAATCATCGGCACCAGAGTTTAATTGAAACACCCATTATTAATGGAGCTACGAGTACTAAAAAAAATCACAGCATATCTATGGAGTGAATGATGAGTGTGGCGAAGCGCTGGAGGGTTTCATCGCTAAACTGTGAACCATCCGCAAATATCGCCCACTACATAATCAAAGACGTGATAAACCTGTCTGTATATATTTATACAAGAAATTTTATTATTGGTAAGTGGTAGCTATACGTCGCTTCCGTTCCTCCTTCATTATAACGGCTTTATGGTCGATGAAGTGATGGATTGGTCATGGGGCGTAGCGGGATGTTTGCGAGGACGAAGTAGTGGGCAGTTTGCAAAGGTGGAACTATAGGCGGTCACGTAGAAACAAGGGATGGACACAGTTGGAAAATCTATGGTTCTTCAACGTGCACCTGGATACAAGTACACAACCATCTTGCATTTCATATTGGCTACTTCTCTACAGTATCGGCTTTATGGTTGCTTGAAGTGGTGGATCGGTGATGGGGTGTAATGGGATGTTTGCAAGGTGGCTACATACACCAACGGAGGAAGGACAGACCCATACCCCAAGGAGTTTCGACCCTGAAAATACCTTCCTCCTCTGCTCTGCCTTTCACCCTCAACTGCCCTCAACTCTTCCATTGAGGGCTTGAGGCTAAGCTCCGCCTTCACGGCGCCTGTGTCACGATGTAGTGTGAGACCGCATACGCGTAAATCTTGCCACTGATCCAATACCGGCAGTCTGTGCTGTGCGTTCCACAGCCAATCAGATCAGCTGGAAACAATGATGTCAGTGGGGCAGAGCGTGTTGCTTGGTGTATGGGCGGTGGAAAACGCTTTTGGCCGAGTCGCAGCGATCTGGAGCGATTCGCAGCTTTAAAGCATTGTAATAAATTGCACAGTTTACGCAGAGAGCTCAAATCGGGTTCTAAATTACCCTTGGGACTTGGTCTACCGGCCCAATGTGTTTGTGAAAAATCGTCAGACCGGTTTCAGGGCCCCTTTAAAGAGCCACTCACCAGGTTTGACAATTTTGAGCTGACAAGTGCAATGTGTAGCTGAGGCGTTCACGATCACATCTGCCAAAATTTGCAACACTACGCCCCTTACTCTTGCGGGCGCGCGCCCAGAGAATGAGGGCATGACGTGCGCGTATGAATGGCCCTACGTATACGGCAATGCAGTGACGTTGGTGCTCTATATAGACTATGCTCTGACATTGCCAACACTGGCAGGTGACATGACGAAAAGTATTTAACACGACATGCGCAGTTTATGTATTTGTTGCTTGAAGAGATTAATAAATCTTTAGATAAAAATGAGATGCAATAAGGGAATGTGAGTGTAATTTATTATTTTTTTTCCCCTGTGAACTGCAACGTTGTGCGGGGCTAATGTGCCGGCGTATCGCATGCGTTCGTGTCCCCGCGGTCAGCGCATCGAGCAGACGACAGCCGTGGAACGCTCCTACGGGTTTGCGCACTCATTGTGCTCATCTCTTCTACTGTGTCTAAGCCAGCGTTTCCTAACCATTCCGCAGAAACAGGCAGTAGATCTCAAACAACGATGATCAAAAAAGAAGAAAAAAAAACGCCGCTCGCGTGCGTGGTGGTTGGGCTTGTTCAGGCACGTCACGCGCACGGGACCTCTTAGTCGGATGCCAAAGAGGGTAGGGAAGAGATTTGGCTTGCGAAGGCTATGCGGAGGAGTGGCAAGGGTTTTGAGCTCGCCTCTTCTCATCCTTCTTTCGCCCCGCTTAAAAAAAAAAAAAAGCTTTCTTAGTTCGTAATGAACCGATTAAAAAAAAATTTTGTAATAGAATGTTCCTCATCGGACACCCAACAACTTCCATGGTCTAACTAAAATTTGGTATGAGACCTGGTGAGTGGCCCTTTAGAGGGGCCCTGTGACACTTTTGGCAAAGCCTTAGTTAGCACCGGATCGCGCATAGCGATGATTACTGAGACGAATGCAACAAAAATTATGGAAGTTGGCGCACGAAAAGTGAAGTTATGAGTCCTCAAAGTTCAGAACTCGAGAAGACGATGATGAGAAATGCTCTCTTTCGCATTTCACTCGCCTACTGACGTCAAAGACCGCTTCCAATCACCGCACGTTTCATAAAAACATTCCGGAAGTGTCACCTCATTGTGGCCTTCACACAATACCTCGCTACCGCTCTTTTTGACGGCGTCGTTGGCATTTTTACTACAAACCACGTGCGTCGGGTAGCAGACATTCGCACAGTCACACTGTGTAAGATATGCACATACGCTTTGGACGGGCTTGCATGCAAGACTCATTCTATGGCAACGCCGGCGCCCACCGTCTGTCGCATTTGCGGCTCTCTAATGCGTTCCCATTTATAGTTGCTGGCGTATCGTAGCCTCGATCACAGGCTATAAGTGTTGTGTTCGTTGTTCTGAAAATACATTATTTAGAAACAAGAATAACTTCTTTCTGAAGAAGTATTAAAAAAAAAGGTTCTTGCTGTTTTAGCATTCACTCTTATGGCCTAGCTACCCCAATGTGACTATTGGATGCTATTTCTGGTGTCATGCCAATCAAAAGCGAACGGTGTTTGTCGTCACGTCACATGACACGACGTCACTTCCCATAACAAAAATAGCCGATGTGTGTCGCCATAGTCTGAAATCAAGATAGTTTGTCCCGTAAAATTAAATTACGTATAACAGGGTCGATTTCCGCGTTGTCATGTGCACAGCACCAGAAGAACTGATGAAAAATACATGCTGAAATAGTGTCGCCAGGCCCCTTTAAGGCGGATACATACCAACTCTTCCAGCGCACAGACTTGATGACGAGTTTCATTGAAACATTACTCACTTGTATTGATTGTTCTTTAAGGAGGCCATGTCAGTTGTTCAAAATGGTTAACGGTGGCACATGTGCTTTGTCGAAGTTCTGTGTTCATGGGGATTGACCGTTTGGGATATATTGAGAGAGTGTAGTGAAGCAAGTACCCGCATTGTTAGAGCATTCACATGCATTCACGTGAGCGCTTTAGTTGACCACGAGCACTGGTCACTGACTTACCATGATTGGTATCTTTTGCTGTTTGTTTGCTTCTCTTCTCTTAAGGGCACATTAAAATGTATGCGTTGTTTGCACTCTGTTAGGTGGAAATCGACCGAACATCGCGCATCCTCCTCAAGTCAGTGGTGGTGGCCTCGTCGCCCGCATCGCAAGTGGCGCGACTGGAGGAGCTCAACAACCACATTCTCGACTATCCCAGCAGCCTGTGCATACTCGCAAAGGTGAGCTTCCTTTCTGGGCGAAAACAAGTTGAAAGAAAGAAAAAAAAATCCACAGCTAGCATCGTTTCTTCTGTATGCATCCACGAGAGAAAAGCGTTGCTGTTATAAAGGTGGATAGCCGGCATCAGCCAACACTTACGATCAGTTAGCCATGGTTACCCATTGTTTTGTCAACGCTGTAGACAACATTAGCAATGAATGTAGCCTGCATCGGGTAGAATTAGTATTTAGCCAGTGCTGGTGGTACACGCTCGCACATAAAACTGCAAGGAAACTGAACTGTAAGGGTTTTTTTTCCAAATGCGGATTTCATTCATAGGTTTTTTTATACAAGTGGGCAAACGACAATTTTCTTCACTTTTGTGCATCCCTACTTCACCCCTTGGGCTTCCACAGAACTGATCAGCAACTTTTTTTTACTGTAGTGTGAATTTTTTCTGACCTGCTAGTCCAAGCCTTCACTGTACTATCCCTTTGTTGTACTAACATATTCTGGGCACTTCCCTAGGAACGAGCTATCGCCCACATCCTCCGTATGCGAGAATACTCCAACAACAGCTCCGTCGTGGCCACAGCACGCGAGACCCTGGCCCTGCTGGGCTATGTTGACCCGCCAACGGGAAGGGGCCTGCGTATTCTCTCCATCGATGGTGGAGGCACAAGGTGAGCTTTTCAAGTTGTGCTCAATTAAGTTTCGTAAATTGTGTATCTGACAAGCTGGCCTAGTTGTGCATATACAGCAATGAACAGCATGCAATATTCTCGTCTTGGTTCTGATGTGCTTAGTGTGCACAGTGATTTAGCACCAGGTTATGTCAAACTGTAGTCCAACACAGTAAGTAGTTTCTGAAACGCTTGCCTTTGCAATAATTGTGCCATGTAGCCTGCACACTGCCAGCATAAGAATAAAAAATGCATTACAAAGAAACCAGGGGTAGGAACCAATAGTAGTACACTCGTGAATGCCCGCGCACTAACAGGAGAAACGGAGCAGCCCATATGTCGTCGAAGTCGTGGCTGACCTGTTTTAGCCGACGCGTGAGAAGCTTGATGCAGTAGGGATTGGCCGAGTCTTACTTCGTTTGGCAACTGTACTCAGCAGTCCCTGCATACTTTTTCTTTTGTGAGAAACTCCGATGATGTGTAGTGATCATTGAACGAAATGTAATGTGAGAACTCATTAGTATAACAACAGGTAATGCGTAGTTGCTCGAGATAATCACTTCTTGTCAGTACAAATGTGGCCACAGTAGGTGGCCATATAACCCAATTTCACACCAGTGTGATATACAAACTGAAAAGGCAGGAAACAAAATTACAGGTGCTACTTTGCCCTAAATTCACAAGTTTTATCCTGTGCGTACCGTACAGTTACGAGAAATATGAAAAGGAACACTGAAGTTAGCTTCAAGAGGCCTTGCAGTGACTAAATGTGTTTTGGCAACAACAAAAACGTTCATTACATAAAGTGTCAAAGGGAAAGGTAACCTTTTGCAGATCAGTACAGCACACTGTACATCACGAGTAGAGGCATAGCTTGCTATTTATTTTTGAGGGCACACCACTTTTCTTTATTTACGTTCCTGCATCGGTTTGTGTGCATGTGTTTATTAGTAATTACTGGAGCATTTGACCCTGTGTTTGTTTTGTGTAAGGTGTTAAAATTGTTTTTTTTTATAGCTTCGCTCTTTTTTCTGGCGTATTACCATGAGAGGCCCCGTCTATGGTTTGCAACCTTGGAATATCTTCCTGCATTTTTAGCTCTATTTACCTCTTATTATGTTACTATTAATGATTGTTTTTTTTTCATTGATTGATTGATATGCACACACATAAAAACCTTGGGAAGTTTGAACACCACAAAAACCCCTTCTGGCTACGACACTGATCACAAGTAGTCATTGCTTAAACACGAACTTATTGTTCCCTTTCATATTGCTTGTGAGTGTTCATAGACAAGAACATCTGGTGCAAAAAAATGTTGTTTTGGATTGCCTCGGTGGAATAGATTGCAACTTGGCGGTCTTACCCGTGCTGCCACAGAGGCATCCTGGCCATCGAGTTCCTACGACAGCTGGAAATCTGTACGGGCCGGCGGGTGTACGAGCTGTTTGACTATGTGGCCGGCGTGAGCACGGGCGCCATCCTGGGCTACCTGCTAGGTGGCATGCACACCTCGCTGGACCGGTGCGAGTTGCTGTACCGCAAGATGAGCCTCGAGGTGTTCACCCAGAACGCCTGGTGGGGCACGGGGCGCCTGGTGTGGAGCCACGCCTACTACGACACCTCATACTGGACCGAAGCCCTCAAGTGCGTGTGGTGACATCAATGTTCCTAGCCGATGGTGCCTGTGGGGCTTGATTGGTGTGGTGTCGGACCTCGTGATGGCACTGCTTACTTGTGTAAATGGTTAAAGTGCCTGCATTTATAAAAGAGAGAGAAGTATTTCTTTATAATAAATATCGCTGGTGTAAAGTTAAGGAAAGAGAGCAGAGTGGATTGGAGAACAAACAAGTGTAGCTGGCATTCTACCTGATGTTAAGAAAACTTGGAGGACGCTTAAGCTTCATGTTCTAGAGAAGAATGCGATAGCGTAATCGGACGGAGTTCATATTGGCTTCCCAATTGGTAGCCAGGCTTCACTTTGCAATAGAGAGCCTAGCCATGCCGCAAGAAAAGTCAAAGGGCAGTCCAATATCTGTGCATATGGCACAACGAAACACGGCCACGTGGCCGGGCGATTTCATTTGAAAGTGCGGCCATGGGCTCTTTCTGCCAACTCGCGAGTTCTGTGTCAAGCCACTGATGAACCTCCCAGATGTGCATACCACCTACGCTAAATGGTGTATATAAAAAACTTGCCGTTAATGTGCGAGAGGATGTATGCATGGCAGCCGCGCAACTAAACACATTGCACCACGAAGCAAGGGGTCGCACATTCGAATCCCCAGTCACACTCGAACCTAAGATCTTTATTATTTCTTTACTTGCATCTACCTTGAATTTTCGCTTACGATCAACGCTAATTTTTAGGTCACAACCAAAGATGGTGCCACGGACTGCGACACCAGAATTTTTCCAAAGAGAGCTCTGAAATGCTGTCACGTTCACAAGAAAGTCTTTGCATGCGACATAATGTGAAGGACAGATTACTAATGGTCAGTTCGAACGACAAAGTTGATTCCAAGAGATGGCGAATGCAGCTGAGGACAGTAGCAGGTTGGGCAGAGCAACGAAATCAAAATATTACACGAATAAAATGAAATCATCTTGCACTGGACGGGCGAAATTAGAGATCATTAGGCCTTCGTCCTGTAGTGGACACACAACATGGGCTGAAGAAGATGATAATAATGGATGGGGTTTTACTTCCAGAAACCATGACACGAATAAAATGAAATCATCTTGCACTGGACGGGCGAAATTAGAGATCATTAGGCCTTCGTCCTGTAGTGGACACACAACATGGGCTGAAGAAGATGATAATAATGGATGGGGTTTTACTTCCAGAAACCATGACACGGTTATAAGAAACACGATAGTGGAGATACATTTCGACCATCTGGGGTTCCTTAACGTTTACTGAAATGTAAGAACCTACTGGCTTCTAGCATTTCGCCTGCTTTAACATGCAGCAGCCTCGGCGGAAATTTGATCCCATGACCCTCGGTTCAGCAGTGAAATACCATAACCGCCATGGGTAGGTCGAATAATGATAATAACGATGAGGAATTCTCTCTTAAGAGGTATTGGTGCATACCTATAGTATGAGTGTAAACCTTGAACAAGTAAACATATTCAATTACAAACTGCAACAAGGCATTAGACACTACGAAACGCCAACTTTTCGTCGGCATGTAGAGGAGTCCAAATGCGAAACTTTGCACTTGAAATACGAGTGGAAATGTCACGAGAGACTTGGAGGAGTGGCTGTTTTTCCGACCAAAACTGAGAGAAAAAAATAAAATTCCATGATTGCTGGTTGCTGTCAGTGACATGTGTGACGAAGGTGCAACAGACATGTGACATGACTAAGCTCCTCAATGTGACTGCAGAGACAAGGAGGCACTCAACATCTCAGAGGCCTGCATCTACAATATGAGAATGACCACCGTTTGTTAGATGCTGTTTGAAGGCTGCTAGCGAGAAAGCTATGGCATTACCTGTCGTAATATACAACTCACTCATAAGTTTGGGCAAAGTTAAAGTTTGTGGTGTTAGTCTTTTAAGAGTACCGATTCTGAAGTGATAGATTCCCACAGATGAGTTTGAAGTCACAGATTCAATTTCAAGCCACAATAGCTAATTTCAGTAAATGCAGAATGTAGAAATGCGTGAGCAATTACAGTTAATTGCTGCATCTTTGTTTTGGCATGCTCTGGAGGCTACTCATACAGCGTACTTCTTTTTTTTTTTCTTTCTTGTTCTACCAGGCGAGTCTTCGACGAGAAGACCTTGTTGGAGACAACAAGGAATTCATGCACTCCAAAGGTGAGACATTTTTAAAATAAGAGGACATGGAACCTCTTGATAGTGTTGTGTTATAGGTGGCAGTTTTGCAGTTGCAATTGCAGTTTCTTAAAGAAAGATCTAATGGTCGGTTTGGCTTAACTACACTAAATTTCTGCATCAGTAGCAGTGATGGTCACTAGGCCTAACCTGTGGTATGAAGTTTTTAGCATCACTGTTGTCTGTGAAGCAACTTGTCGTCTGGGAGTTGGAACTGGGAGTCTGGGAGCCGGGACTGGGAATTAGAATTGGGAGCCTTGGGGCTAAAGCAAGAATTCTTAAATTGGGAGTTCGTGTGCTAGACCATGGGATTTTCTGTGTGAAAATAAAATATAGGTGATTGATTGATTCTGAAATTGGTAGTATAGGAGTTGGAACTGGGAGCCGGAACTGCGATTCTGGAACTCAGGGTCCTGGTGTCGAAACTGGGAGCTCGTAGGCACATCTTGTGCATGGACTAAAAGCTGTGTCATTTTACTGCCGTGCAATGCAGTGAAATGAGCGGCCTTTTGACGTACACAAAGCCAATGTACACCTAGCTTTTCCCTGGTTTTCGCAATTTCCTGGCCCTGCTCCTGTTTCCGGGCAGTCTTCAGATATCGAAAGAGGATGGAACCGAAAATGTTCGTTTCGCAGGTGGGAGCCATATCGGTGGCCGTGAATAAGCCGACTCTGAAGCCGTACATCTTCCGCAACTACAACTTCCCACACCGAGTGGAGTCGCACTATTACGGCAGCTGCAAGCACAAGATGTGGCAGGCGATCCGGGCATCGGGTGCTGCACCTGGGTACTTCGAGGAGTATGACCTCGACGGCTTTGTACACCAGGTTCGTTGGAATGACCACTTGTCTACATCCGTATTTTTATTTTTGCACACATCTTGTTATACCTATCTTTCAATTAAGGATGCACTTACTTTTGTTAATTTCATTTAGCATGTTAATGCAGAAAGTCATTATCGTCTACTGTCGTAGACATATGCACAAGGGGTGGGGTTAGAGGTGTTACCATCAAATCATTGACGAAGAATTGGGAAAACTAGGTGATCTCTAATCATCAAAGGTAGTCTTCCCCATACTTTTAGTTGATTGGACCTGTACCATTGTTCTTTTAAGGAGAACCCTGCCCATGCCTATGGCTGCTGTTTTCATACATCGGCGCCCTGACTTGCACCCATTATAAAGGCACAGCTGTAAGTGATGAGGCAAATTAGCAGTTGTGTCAATTTGAGTGAGTGTCGGTGAGCGTTACTGAATGCGAGGTGTCACTGCATGTCGCTTAGTGCCTCATGCAAGAGTAGAGATGATTCTGAATGTGAGCAAGTACCTTGAAGTGTGAATAGACAAGAGTGTGGGTGAGCGCCTGCTGCTGCTTTGCGCATCGCAGGATGGTGGCCTGATGTGCAACAACCCGACAGCCGTGGCCATCCACGAGGCCAAGCTGCTCTGGCCCAACGAGCCGATCCAGTGCGTGGTGTCTCTGGGCGGAGGCCGCTTCATCCCGGAGGTCAAGGAACAGGAGCAGGGATTCACGTCACTCAAAAAGAAGATCCTCAAGGTCATCGACAGCGCCACCGACACCGAAGGTGCGTTTAGTCGCTGCAGTGCAGATGACCGGGCGTACCACAGTGAGAGGACAAGACGAGACAAGAAGATAGCGAAGTGGGTCAGGGAACGAATAGGCCTTAAGGACAGCCTAGTCAAAATCAAGAAGAGGAAGTAGACATGGTCAAGGCATTTAGCTCAAAAGCAAGATAAATGCTGGTCATTAAATGTAGCAGATTGAATTCCAAGAGACAAAAAGCAAGCGAGTGGAGGGCAGAAAGTTTAGCAGGCAGATGAGATTAAGAAGTTCACGAGACTAATGTGGATGCAGCAAACACAGGACTGGGTTGATTGGTGGAACATGGGAGAGGCCTTTGCCCTGCAGTAGAGCAGTCACGCTGATGAAAATGACCACAAAGCGTATATTAATGAGCATATTTATGGATGAACATAGTTCTGAACCCTTTGGCTTCAACAAAGTATGGCTACCATAAATGCTCCCTCTGGAGGCTAAAGCAATGACAAATCTTTAGAAAGGACTGAATGCAGGAACAGCGCAACCTAGAAGTAGTTACTTCGTAACTACGGAAGCGAAAAAAACAAGGACAGAAAAGAGGGCTGCTTTTTTCGCTTCCGTAGTTACGAAGTAACTACGTCTAGGTTGCACTGTTCCTGCATTCAGTTATGTCCTACCAACTTGCCCAAGCTTGCACGCTTTATAACTTTAGAAAGGGTTGTCACTGGAGCCAACATTTTCTATGAGAAGAATTGTTGCATCATCTTCTAGTCAAAGCGTTTGCTCCTGGGACATTCACTGCTCAGCAGTTTCTCATCAGTTCAAGGCTACACTCAAACCTCGGTATAATGAACCCGGATGCAACGAAATATCGGTTTTAAGGAAGCAGGTTCAGAACAGTCTTGCAATATATAGTGTTAGGAATGTACCTTTATAATACATATTCATATATATAACGAGCTTATTTTGCTGTGAGATGCAACTCTGTTATAATAAGGTTTGAGTGTACATCTCCTGAACTGCTACTTTGATTTTGTTTCTATGGAGGCTTAGTTTCTATGGGGCTTGCTGTATTGTGCGTAAAAAGAACTGAAATTTTTAATGGAAGCAGGTATGTTTACGGTAATAGGATCGCGTGCTGTGTGGCACCAGCAGGCACCAAGTGGATGTTTCGCACTCAACGTCATAGCTGCAAGTGGCGCTAGTTAACATTCGTAGGACCCAAATACCTGAATAAATTGGATGGGAAAGCAACCGCCACTGCAGCTAGCTTGGTAGAGCATTGGTCGCATTATCAGAATGTTGGAGGTTCGGTCTGTACCTGTGGCAAGTCGATTTTTTGTTCAGTTTTAATTACTTACCATTTATGTTATAATCACTACACCACAGTCAAGAGATACAAGTAATCTTCTTTATAACTTTTCCTAGCTTCTTATTTGAGTTAATTCATCATCATCAGCAGCAGCCTGATGTTGGTTTCATTAGGTTGTGTCTGATTGATTTGTGGGGTTTAACGTCCCTAAACCACCATTTGATTATGAGAGACACCGTAGTGGAGGGCTCCGGAAATTTTGACCTCCTGGGGTTCTTTATCGTGCACCCAAATCTGAGTACCCGGGTCTACAACATTTCTGCCTCCATCGTAAATGCAGCCGCCACAGCCGGGATTTGATCCCACTACCTGCGGGTCAGCAGCCGAGTACCTTAGCCACTAGGCCACCGTGGCGGGGCATTAGCTTTTGTCTAAAGAAAATGCATGAGCTCTCAAATAATTTCCCTTTTATGTTACGGTGCTGCTGAATGAGGCAGCCGCGTAGGAAAAGAAAACAAACTTGCCTCAATTTTATTGTCACGATTAACACAGCAGACTTAATGCCAGAGTATGGTTCGTCGAAATGTCTTAGTCTGTCTAAAAAAAATGTTAAAATTTTTTTTTTCAGCGGTTCACACTACGATTCAAGACCTGCTTCCTCCAAACGCCTACTTCCGTTTCAATCCATACCTCTCGGAGTGGATCACCCTGGACGAAAACCGTGCGGAGAAGTTAGACCAACTCAAACAGGACGCCCAGATGTACCTGAGGCGCAACTCCGAAAAGTTTGACTCAGCCGTCAAAAGTCTACTGACGAAGCGAGGGCCAGTGCAGAAGGTCAACGACTGGTTAAAAATGCAGTTGACTATTAAGTGGTGATGGCGATGAGTTAACAAACATGCATAATGTGCGGACGTGGAGAACCATGAAAACAAATGCATGCAATCTGAGCGAATGGTCTCTATTGTAAGACTGCCTGTGTCAAATTTTTCTTTTTAATTTTGCTATGTTTTGAGAATTGGAGTGTTGATCATAAATGTTAGGCAAGTGATTTGAAGAAATTTCTACCCTAAGCCAAAGGCTTGTGAATGTAAGTGTGGTTTTCTATGGAAATAGTTCTGTTAAAGCGATATGCGCATAGTATGAATGACTGTTTGCACGACTAATCGATCGAGTGCCACCTATGAGGTGCTTACGCCACCCTGATTTGTCAATGACGTAGACGTATACAGCTACAACGTACTTAAAACTACTACCGCACAACTCTCGTACTTTTGTTATGTAGCAAGGCAACTTGCCCAGCACAGCCGTTAGTTAATGTACATCCTCTACAAGCTTTTAAATGTAAATTATTTCATGCGAGCTTCACTAGTCAATCTGCAGGCCTCTGTCAGTCTGCACGCATTGTGTTGTGTGCAAACAGGCAAGTTTGTTGTTGGGGACTAGACGTTGTCTTGTCTCCAAACACTGTAAATAAAATAATGTTGCCTGTTTTCATGTGTGTGTGTGGACTTGCTCTTGCCACTAGCACAAACAACATTCCATTATTTTATGAGGAAAGTCCCATTTTTCGAAAGAAACACACCGGGACAAAGTGAAGGTCTTCATCCTGGCACACTTTACAAGCCATATTTGACCGGGTAAACAACGCAGTTTGCAATGGCTGAAATTTTAAGGGTATATGACTGATTAATGTGCATGCCATTAGTAGCCTGAGCTGTTTTGAAATAAATGCTCCATGCAGACAACCGCTTCTTCATGGTGCAGGCCAGAAAAGACGAGTATCACATGACAGACATTTGCAATAATTTAGACGCTTCACTAAGAGCTGTCGAAAAATTAGTCATGTGCAAAAATGTCTCAGTACCTGAAGCAAATGAACAAACTTGACGTAAAACTAATGCATCGTAACACACATCTTTTCCCGCAGACGACGCAGGACCCCTAAGAAGGAACACCAAATTTTTAACAATTATAAGGTTGGGCTTGTTGGCATGACAAATCATTCATGAAGTAGTGAAGCGCTGCATTACACGCTTCAGAATTTTTAGACATATTCAGGCCCTGTCGCATGTTGTGTTGGTGAGAAACTGTTTTGGAAGCAGTAATTAACTTAATAGGGACTTTGCGCATGCACGCTTTGGGTCAAGCAGGAGCGAAGCGTTTTGAGATAGCATCTGCGGCGCTTTGGACACTCCCCATTCCTGGTTATGACACTTCAGTGGGTGTCATCACGTTTGTATGACGCAAAGCTCTTGGGATATGCTTTGAGGCTCCCTCTAAATGAGAGAAATAGCGTCCCCAAACGCGGTTCCGATTTTGCGCATGCGCAGTGGCCTAGACGCTCGAATAGCCAATCACACTTCTGTGTGGGACTGGCTGCTTCACCGCGCGACGCAGAAGACGCTGCCTATTTCTTTGGGGCCCCTATTAGAAAAATCCCTAATGATGTCCTGCCATCATTAAGTGAACAGGCCCGATACATGTGGCCCCGTTCTTCCGTCGAAGGAGGATGGAGTCACTAACTCAAGTTGTCTGCGTAATGGCAGGAATATCGTGAAGGGCTCTCAGTTCTTCGAACTTGTAAGGTTGCAGTGGGCGATAGTTATAGCGTGAAAACAAAACGACGACACAGAGACAAGAAGGGCACGAGCGCTTACGCCCTTCGTGTCCTTCTTGTCTCTGTGTCGTCGTTCTGTTTTCGCGCTATAACTATCGTCATGTCATACCAACTAGCCCAAGCTGCCACACTTGCAGTATCACCTTACTCCACTGCCAAGTTACAGTGGAGTAAGGTGATACTACAGCATAGAGTTTCATACAATAATGTATTATTCTATGAACCTTTATATATTAGAGAATGGAACCAAGGTTGATGAAACTCTCTGCGATACCCTATTATCCCTCTATGATGTCAACTTATTAGGCGTCACATCCGGACCTCGCTGCTTCTTTTGACGCGACTTCCGGTCGCTTTTTCGTAGAGGGAGGGGGGAAAACAGACATGGCAGCCAAGAAGATGGCCGCTTCCACGGTGGTGCAGCGAAACCTGCCGTACCTGCGACAGCAGTTCCTGGCCGCGTTGCAGACGTGCAGCGCGGTCGTCAAAGTGCTTAGCCTGGCCGTGTTTCTTTGCTACTTCCTCTCGTACAGCCAGGTCGCTTCGCGGGCCGTCAGCGTCACGCCGGGCTACATCATACCGCCCAGCTTTTGGATATGGACTGCGTTCACGCACGCGTTTTTCGAGAACAGCGTCTGGATGGTGATTGCCGATATCGTCACCGTGGGGCTGTGCGGCAAGTTGATCGAGCCCCTGTGGGGCGCCATCGAAATGCTCACCTTCTTCGCCATAGTGAACACGAGCGTCGCCTTCCTCTCCGTCGCCTATTACATAGTGCTGTATTCGGTCACCTGGAACCCGGACTACCTGTTTGCCGTGCGAATACACGGCCTCGCGGGCTACTGCGCCGCCGTCATGGTAGCCGTCAAGCAGATTATGCCCGACCACGTACTGGTGCCTCTGCCGTTCGGCAAGATCCGAAACCGCAATGTGCCCCTAACCGTACTTCTCGCCTCGATCATACTGTGGGCTTGCCAGGTGCTCAGGGGCACCTACCCCGTGATGTTTGTCTCGGGCATGATGTCTTCGTGGGTGTACCTACGCTTCTACCAACACCACAGCAACGGAAGCAAGGGTGACATGGCGGACCACTTCACGTTTGCTAGGTGCGTGTTTAATCCCTCTACGCGAGCTGTTAACCTTGGGGTAAACGAAGTTACGTGTGCCGGTGACATGTGACTGTGATGACACAACTACGCGGGGGTGTGGTGGGCTCGCTCGTGCGCGTCTTAACTGCTTCTTGATCGGGCACTGTTATCGCAGACGTTTTGTTTGTCATCTTGTCAAGCCTATGTCTTCTGTCTTGCCGGGGCTTGGCGAACGTGTTTATGAAAAGCGCTGTCACTAGACTGTTCGCTCGACTGAACGTAGAATCTGTTTTCGTTTCGCATATGCCTCTGTAGCACAGGAAGCTCTGTCGCGACCGCTGTAACGCACGATTATCTGGTCGTCTTTCAAAGGAGGTTATCAGGAGGTTGTTTCCTCTGCTTCAACATAGGAAACGATTGAAAGGAGGTTTCACCGTGTTCGCAATACTTAGTGTCTATTATTGTCTCGCTTGTGACATCACAAAGACAGATGCTACATTTACAGCTAGTTTATTATTGTTAAACTACGCTTATAGGTAGCAGGCACGATTGATTAAGGCTCCCACACAGTTTGCTCAGCATCACTGAGTGAACGAGTCAGATAGCGTGAAGAAAAACACACTTTATGCAGTCTTTAGTGATGCCATTAACCATTTGTGTCTATGGACTGATTACGCTATTCCTTCTTGCCCCACTCTCTTCTGATATCTCTATCACGGCCGTACGTAGTCAGAGACCTGATTAGCAGTGCTTGCCTTTGGTGTATTTGCATTAACCATATCTTAAAATAAATGCTAACAACAGATATGTAAAGAATGACTAAATTCTGAATGCACATGGGATTTTCCTCATCTCACGGTGCTGTGCTTAATGTTGACGCTGGCACATGAGAAGCGTAGAGAAAATATGTTTCTGCATCCCTGTTTTTGAGACTGCCATTGGACGTGAATTTGCAGGCATTTTATTCTTTAACATTTTGTTCCTTCATTCGCAGAATGAATGGTTTAGCTTTAGTTTCATGGCACGGCTTTTGGTTGGCTGTAGTTTTGGCACATTCTCGTGATGTTTTCTTTTCTGACGGGAAGTAGGTGGTTAAGCTCACGCTTAGAATATTGAGTGATACGTAAATGCTTATAGAGACTTCAAAGCAGAAATATGCTTCAGGCCATATTAGTAGATTATTTCCCTGCGATAAAAAGAAAGATGATGGTATTTAAGGCTGCATGATTAGCATGCATGTTTCTGCATGTTCAAATTTGGGCATGTTTCCATTGCTACCAGCGTGCAGTATGTTCCTGTTGGCCACTCACACACATTAAAGTCACTCAGAAATGTAATATTGATGTAATGCAATGATTCCACGCCATTTCTTTACCCTTTTCACACTTCGTTGCTAGCCTGCATGTCTTCATTAACATCATGTCAAGAATCAGTTAACTTGGTTAGTACATGACTGATAAAAGAAATGCAACCAAGCATTTAAATTGTTATAGTGTATTAAACAATATTTGTTGCTACGGACGATCTGGGATCCATTCTTCGACGCACAAGCTAAATATAAACGTTCCAGAAAATGCTTAGTACACCTACTTTTGAGTAAGAATGCTGTGAAAAAAAAAAATTATTTGGCAGCATGCAGAGTGGCTTTGACAAAAGGAAAATGGTCGAGACTAGTCCACGTACCATTGTCGTTGCTGTCACTGGTTGTCACTAGTGCCATTGTCACTCTTGCTGCTGCCTAATAATGGACAGCTAATTTTATAGCGCACTAGAGGAATAAGTCAGAAGGTTGGCATGGAGATAACTGACATGACCAAAGTAAAATTAACCCTTTCAGGTGCAACTTATGAGAAACTGTATGCAAATGCATCAAACTTGTGCAATAATATTTCAAGGCATGTTGATTTGTGTGATTTATATTAATCCTGCTTTAATTGTAATGAAATATCTATTTGTTTTGAAGCATCTCATGTCCTGTTTTTGCATACCTAAATTGAATCAAATCTCTGGGTAGAAATGTAGTACAAGTTCATTTCCGGTTACGTTCATTTTGCGCATAGAAAAAAAATATTTTTGGCATGACGCCCAGAAAGTGGCACAACGAACATGGCAGTGCCTTCAGCAAAGTAATAAATTGTAACAGTAGACTGCTAAACGAAGCTAAATGTACATTTACTAGGCAAAAGCTTCAACTCATCAAAACCTTCATGTGTTTTGATGTTCCTTGGTCACTGGTTGACACAGCTAGCAAATGCAAGTAGCATACAAAAATTGTGTATAAAGCGTCTCAAAACCAACATCCCCAGGTTCGTGCTTTTTCTAATGGATAGTTGTCCTACCGAAAGTTTATTCCCTCCATCCCTTCTTTTTCTTCTATCCAACAGTTTCTTCCCGAACGTGCTCCAGCCTCCCATCGCCCTGGTGAGCAACCTCATCTTCAACTTCTTTGTGAAGATCAAGCTGTGCAGGAAGCCGCCGCGGAAGTACAACCTGTCTAGCGGATCTGCGTCCACTGTCACCATCAACCTTCCGGGAACCGACCCTCAGGACGCTGAGCGGAGAAGGTAACTAGTCCCTGGAGCCTCGGGGTGCATTCGATGTGCCCTCGCTCACTCCGAAATGATTCGTGGCGAAGCGCTAGAAGTCCAGAAATTGTGCAGCTTGAGTTCCATAGTTTGAGCACGATGTGAAACTACTGAAGACCCTACAGTGCTAAAACATGGCAAATGCATATAAGCAAGTTTCAAGTAAGGGCCAAGTTTGCACGTTGCATGCTCTCTTGTGCTG